GGCGGAAAGGGTTAGTGGGCAGGACGCTCTCCTCGGCGTTATCACAAAGTCGCCAGGAAATGAGAGGGGAAGGGGAGGGGGCTGGGGACGCGATGGTTGTGATGACCAGCAGAGAGATAGAAAAAAGAAACAACAACAAAATACTGGTACAATTTGGTTGAGATTGTTATTGCTTGTCTAAACTAACGATCGCTTTTCCGCTCTGACTGTAGGTGCTGCAAGATGCACGACTGGTGCTACGACACAGCCAGCTGTCCCATGTTCCTCGAGTACTTTGTGCCGTACTTGTGGAAGTGCTACAGAGGACGACCGCTCTGCGGTAAGTGTGCCGAAGCCGGAACAGAACGCTTTTATGCATGTGTTTCTTTAACTGCGCCCGCCAACAGTCTGCCGAGGTGACGGCGGCGCGTAGGGACGTTATCCCTTGAGCGTTGTGCGGGTTGTGCGCCGAACGTTCCCTGTCGGAGCCCCCGCAGGATGGGCCGCCGGCTCCACACAGCTGCTGGGCGGGTTGGCCTACCCAGCGAGTCGCAGGCGCCTCGGGAAACTCTCTCTCTCTGTGTGTTTCAGCGAGCTTTCAATTACAATTTAAGCAACGCTTTCTCGTTTGCAGCGGTGAACGGGTCCGCCTGCTCGCAGCGGCTGTGCGAGTGCGACCGGCGGCTGGCCGAGTGCCTGCGGAACTACCCGTGCCCGCGGCGGAAGGCCGTGTGCACCTCGTCGCCCTGGCGCCTGCTGCAGAACCTCTTCATGCTGTGATAGTGACGACGCGCCACAGTGGCGTCACCTAATTGTTATTGTTGTTGTCTAGTTGTTGTGTTTAATAATGGATCGGAGCGTTTGTTTTTAAATGTTCGCCGCTTTTCCGTACAATCTTGATGACGCGCTGATGAGCGAAACGGTCCAGTCAACCATTTCCGGTGAAGCCCGTCGGAAGTTTGATCGGATCGTATGTGTCCGCTGTACGGAATGACTGTGCCACTCGTGACTGGGAGTGAAGTCAAGTGTCCCAACCACGTGAAATGAAACGGACTTGTCAAGGAGAGAAGCCGGGCTGCCGACGCGTTGCTCTAATGACTCTAGTTACCTTTTATTCTAGTGCAATTTGTGTTACCGATGTTACCGATAGATTACTTTGTTAAATTTGCTGTCAATATTGATTATTTTTAAGCCCCTCATTACTGCATTGAGTTGTTTTTTCACGAAGAAAACATTGTACCAGTTGAATCTATTGGAAGAACATGAGAGGAAATATTGTTAATACCCTCAGGTTTTATTTTATTAAATCATTTTAATGTTGTGTTATCCCACCATAAGGATAAACTACCACTAACACAAACAAGTACAAAAGGAGAAAATAAATAAAATGCGTTAAAGGACGGTTTGTAGTATCCTCGTCGATCCCTAGGAAAATTCCGTACACAAACAGAAATAAGTGAAAGATCGGATAAGTGTGACGACTGTGCAGGCAGCATGCCCCTCAAAAACCCGGCGCAATGGTCCGAATAAAAAGGGATTTTCAAGGGTACCGGTAAGTTATGCTGCCTACCTTGCAGGCGCGGATCTACCTATTTCTCTGCAGATTTCCCGGATACCCCGATCGATCGGTTCTACCGCGATATGGTAGTTCCACACTTCGACCGATCTTTACTCAGGTAGCCGCAGCTAGAAATAGGAGCCGTGAGCGTGAGATGGCTAGCCGGTAGAGCGAAGAGTTTTAAACCTTCGTCCTAAGAGTTTTTGTGGGAATACAGGGGTGTAACGTACTCATCTGAAAACAAACGATTTCGAAAGGCTTGCGCACGCCACCCAACCGTCTGAGATACAATGCAAAGGAATGAAGAGTGTTCTTCATTATTAATCCAAATAAATCCACTGGACAAAGAATAATTGAGGTCGGATGAAATCGGTCTGCTCGCCGGGCTCGAAGTCCTCACGCATTGTTGGTGTTGGCCAGACTGGCGTAGCTCTTTGTTGATATCAAGATGGTTGTCCAAGCAGACATGGAGGAGCCTGGCAGAGAGGATGAAAACACCGAATTTGTGGGTCTGGGCTGTGCCCTGGAGCTATTTTCCGAACTTGATGAAGTTTTAGGCATGATAGACCAACTCAAGACCATTTACACCACGAGGAAGGCGATCGAGTGTGCATACGAGAAGTTTCGTTGCGTCCTAACCCTCTATCAGGAACAACCCCATCTCCTCGACCCGCATTTGGACACCATTCTTGAGAGGATAATCCTGATTATCAGAAACAAGGACGAGCCTATAGAATTGAAACATGAAGCTTTCAAGTATTTACACGTGATTGTCAAGGTCAGGGGCTACAAGGTGGTGGTCCGCCACCTGCCACATGAGGTGAGTTGACAGTTGTTGTCAAAATATTGGGGTTATGTTTCTCCTTGTCATGTTTTTACTTCATTGTCATCGCGCTGTAATGGCATTCTGTGGTCGTAATCCCCAAACCGTGTGTTGATCTAATTTCATTTTGATTTGTTGACTCCATTGCTGTCATACTTTTGCAGTACATTATATCTCTGGGTTATCCTCTATTTGTTTACATGCCGTTCTGAACCAACTGTTAGCTCTTTTGACTTTGTTCTGCAGCACAAGTTTAAATTTTACTCTCTATGATATGGAAACTCTTAACATATTTTTAAACATACTTATTCTGTCCTTTACTACTCTGCATATATTTCTGTTAATTAAATGTTTCAACTTATTTGCCTTGCCATGTAGGAGAAGAAATTTATTGGAATATGTTCTGTAAACCTAAATTGATAACTGCAAAACTTATTGGTTTCAGGTTTCTGATTTGGAACCTGTATTGACCATGCTCGAAAGACAAAACCCAAAAAGCACAGACACGTGGGAGACAAGATATGCCCTTTTGTTGTGGTTATCAATTATTGTGAAGATTCCCTTCCACATGACAAGACTGGATAGTTTCCAATCAACTCCAGGTCCGTCTACTGCAGATGATGGTGAGAAAAGAAAGACAGTTATTCAAAGGTACGTAAGAGTAATCAGAGTTCTTTTGTTCTGAAACCCTAAAAGCTCTACAATTTTATGAGTTGTTGTTTTTTCAATTCTTTTCAGACTTGTAGATGTTTGCAAGCTCTATGTACTTGTGGGTGATAGTTCACGGTTCCCTGCAGCGTTCTTAGCCTCTCATTTTTTTACGCGATCTGATGTGAAAGACGAACACCTTGGACCATTTATTGCATTTGCATGTGAGGTAAGTAGCGTTTTCAGAAACATTGGTTCTAACTTAGTTTTATTTTACCATAGGATTTCTATAGGTTTATTCAAAGAATCAATGATACAGTAGGGTATAGTATGCAAGACAACCTTTAGTCCTCAATTATTGTTTCAATATCACCAATATCATCACTATCATCAGTATCATCAGTATCAGTGTCAGGACCATGGGCACTTCCTAAATCAGGCTTCTCTGTGTATGTTGTTTTGCAATTGTACATGTAGTGAAGTTTTGCTACGTCCTTTTTACTGAGTGTCTTTCTCTGACCAATTGTTGCACCATTCTCCTGAAAATTTGAAGGTTACAATGTGAGAATGTCTTACCTTTTTAACTGGAAAATTAAAGTATCTGTATCTTGATTTTACCAGTGGAACTATCGTTTTCTTCTCATTTTGGGAAAAGGCATATGCACTGTAGTGCATAATACTCTGATAGTCATAGGTCACATTGAAATTAGACACAGATTCTGTGTCATATTTCCTAAAATTATGTTCTCTTCCTAGAAGGAGTAAAATATTTGCTTAGTTAAAATAGATACAAACATCTATTTCTATGATTTTTTTCTCCATGCCCTGACCTGGTTGAATATTATCCCAAATTATCTTCACATACTGGTCGCGTTCTGGTGCACTTTGCTGATGGTAAAATCCCAAAGCATGGAGCAGTTCATGAATAATTGTTCCTCTCTTGAAACAGCCTTTTCCTAGTTCATTGGGCTTCAAATACAAAGGTTGTCTTCCTCCTTGCCGCCCCACATGGGATGAACAGCCGTGGGCTCCTTTCCCCTAGAAATTTGCAATTAGATAATTAATCTTAATGAATCAACTTTTGTAAGGCATGTGAATTTTTGCTTACTGTTATGAACACATAATCTTTGTCGTGATAATTTTTCTCCCGCATCCGAATGCATGTCTTTTTATGGAATTCTGCCACTGCCCGATCTATCATGCCAATTTGCCTTTCATCTGAAATGTTTGAAAAAACAAAAAAAGGTTCCTTTTTTGAGTTGGACATTCTTATAGATTAAAATATAGCACAGTATTTTCCCTTTGCAGTAAGCTGACGTACCAAGTGAATCTGAGTCCACTTTATAAACTAATGTCTTGTTTGGCCAATAAAAGACTTCATTTACTAGACCATTTCGGATGTTATCTGGGCTCATGATAATATCTCCCTCAAACTCACCACTCTTTTCCCATGCATTCCCTAATTCGTAGGATTCATCTGAGACAAAGAATTGTTGAAAAACTAATCATCAAATATTGAGAACTATTGTTACATTTAGTTTCACAGATTGGTTTTAAGATGTATTAAAGTACCTGATGTGACAAAAAAATCACTATTGTCGATCCAATCTGTGAGAAAGTCCGTTAGAAAGTCTGTTTGTAAATGTTGAAATTATTATTATTTGCCCATGTGAAATAGTGGTGTTTAGCGGCCACCAACTTACCAAATGCCGGCGCTGGTTTGGCTTTGCAAGCAATAAACATTGCTGCTAAGGCCAAAGCTGCTAAGACTGTTCTCATTGTTTGCTAATGAGTCTAAAACTAACGCTGGTTGACTCTATCTAGTTGCCTGACCGTCACAGTTTAGTAACAGGATGCAGTTGTGGCCTCTCCTTTACCTGGAATCAAGTGCTAAGGCCTGGTGCTGTTTGAGTACTGACCTGGGTCCTCTGTCCAAATGTGCTTCCACAGTGGGGGAAGGAGGGGGTTCTGGAAGGAGGGGAGGGGTGAGGAGAGAAGGGGAATGGGAGATAAGTGTGCTCCTCTGAATACCAATGCTAGGGTCTTATCATTAACAGCACCCTGGCCCTTGTTTTGAGTGTCCTTTATCTGCTGGAGGGTGTAAAAGGAGGTCTTCACTTTCTCTTAAATGAGGAACAACATGTAAAGGCATGAATGCTCTTTGTACCCTCCCATATTTCATAGTTGGCACAGTTAAGATTTTGGAAATGCAGTGAAAACATTTTTTTTCCTATTAATTGCAGGTAGTGGGGTCTCCTAAAAGTGATATGAGTGCTCAGTGTGGGGCCCTGGCTGCTCTGGCTGCTATTCTTAAGCATGGCAGCCGTGAGGACTTAATTCCTCATGCAACAGAACTCTTGCAATGGTTGGTAAACAGTAATTGCAGAAAAAAGGATATCCCACTAATAAGACAACTAGGGATGAAAGTTGTGCAACGGATAGGTAAGTTCATTATTTAATATTTCTACTAATTCCTCTATTTCTAATTTTTTTTTAATCATCTCTCTCTTTTTTTTTTTTTTTTTTTTTTTTTAAGGTTTAACATTTTTGAAAACAAGAGTGGCTGCTTGGCGATACAATCGTGGTTGTAGATCATTAACTATCAACTTAAATGCTGGTGATGCCACCCGTCAAATTGGTGCTCAACAACCTACACAAAGTAATCCTGAAGAAGTTGGAGAAGACTTTGACATTCCAGAAGAAATTGAGGAGGTTATTGAAGAACTTATTCAGGGCCTACAGGATAGCAATACGATTGTGAGGTACTATCTTCTCACCCCCTTGGAAACTTAGTTTAGTATCCCTTGATGCTGATTGCCTTGTAATTAGGATTAATATCTGTGTGTCTCTAGGTGGTCGGCTGCTAAAGGCATTGGTCGAGTCACTGGAAGGTTACCCAAGGAGTTGGCTGATGAAGTAGTTGGTTCTGTCCTAGAGTTATTCAGTGAGCAAAACTCTGACTCAGCTTGGCATGGAGGCTGTTTAGCTCTTGCTGAACTTGGTGAGATCTTATATGTTTCTTGTTTCCTTCCAGTATAAGTTTTTTGTGGATCCTTATGTATTCTTTTTGAATTGTAGGCAAACGTGGTCTGTTGTTACCTCAGCGCTTGGGAGAAGTTGTGCCTGTAGTTCTCAAGGCTTTGTATTATGATGAAGCTAGAGGTTACGTCTCTGTTGGGGCACACATACGTGATGCAGCATGCTATGTTTGTTGGTCATTTGCTCGAGCTTATGATACAGAAGTTTTAAGACCCTATGTAAAGGACATTGCAGGGGCTCTGGTTGTGGTGACTGTCTTTGATAGAGAAATAAACTGTCGCCGAGCAGCTTCTGCAGCTTTTCAAGAAAACGTTGGACGTCAAGGATCATTTCCTCATGGCATTGAGATCTTAACCACAGCTGACTACTTTGCTGTAGGAGTGCGTTCAAATGCATACCTCAACATAAGGTAAGGAAAGCAAGTAATATTTTATGTGTTAACAGTATATTTTGACTTCAATATTAATTTATTCTACTCCCACAGCACATTTATTGCACAATTTGAGGAGTATACTCTTCCCCTCATCGATCATCTTGTTAAATACAAAGTAGATCACTGGGATGTTGCCATACGAGAGCTAGCTGGAAAGGCTTTGCACAATATTACACCAAAATCGCCAGAGTATATTGCTACATGTGTCCTTCCACAACTTCTTAGTAGAACCACATCAATTGATTTAAATGCTCGTCATGGTGCTGTTCTTGCTATTGCTGAGCTTTTACATGCCCTTGCTGTTGTTGGCAAAGAAAGAAACCAAACTATTCAAGAAATCATTGGTGAGAAATTTGTTCAGGAAGTCTGCTCTCTTGTTCCAAAGTTCAAAGAAAGGGGTCAATTTCGAGGTATGGGAGGAGAGTTGATGAAGCAAGCATGCTGTGTTCTGGTTGAAAAGTCGTCCCTTGCTCAAATGCCATTCCATGACATGTCAATAATTGGTAAGAATTTGTTCAAAGTCTGTTTGTAGAGAAGATCTTCAGATTTAGAATCTATATCAATTATTTCTTTGGTATTTTTCAGATGAGTGGCAGTTTCTTCTGGATGATTGCTTGTCTAATGAAGTAGCTACAGTCAGGACAAGAGCAGTCTATGCCCTTCCAGCTTTTCTCTCCGAATACTATCAGCATGGTGATGCTGAAAAGTGTTTGCGAAGACAGCAAGGAGTCATTAGTTGTTACACTGGCAAGCTAAAGGCTGTGAATAAAGCTACACGCATGGGCTTTTGCCTAGCAATCGGTGAGAGTAGTTTGGTAACTTTTATAATTAGTGGAGATTGATAAATATAAATATTGAAGAAGTAGTATTGATTTTTATCTCTTTTGTCGGCAGGATCTTTACCTGGCTTTATGCTGAAAGGTCGTGTTTCTTCAGTGATTGAAGCACTAATTGGATGCACAGAAATAACTGAAAGCACTTTGAAATGGGCTGAAAGTCGACGTGATGCAGTGAAAGCTCTTCACACCATCACCAATACTATTGGCATTGCACATGGCAACAAACAGTCTGGTGAGTGAAATTGTCTCTCATTTTTCTGTTGTTTTTTAATTTAAAGTTTTATTATTATTTTAAATAATTTTAATTTATAATCCAAGTAATTCAATTCTAATTTTGTTATTTCTTTAGATCCAGGAAAAGTGAACAAAAGTCTAGTGGATGCAATGTACTCCTGTTTCCTGAGATGCCTCTCTGAGTACACCATGGATAGTAGGGGTGATGTCGGAGCTTGGGTCAGAGAAGCAGCCATGACAGCTCTCCAGGTTTTAACAACATTAGTTGTCAAGCAGGATCCAACTCTTCTTGATGCTTGTGTGATCCAGAAAATGATGGCTGATGTATCACAACAAGCTGTGGAAAGAATTGACCGGACTCGCTCTCATGCTGGGCGCGTTTTTAGTAGCCTTATCCACAGGTGAATACTGGCATGATACTGCACCATCTCTACCTTGAGAATCCTTTTTTTTAAAGATTGTTTTTCTATTGTTAGGTTTTAGATTAATAATACTTTCTATTCTTTTCAGTGACCCTGTGGTGCCTCATATTCCTCACCACACAGAAATCCTGCAGATTTTCACTCAAAATCTTTGTCAGGAGGAATTGAATTGGAACTCAGCTGCAGATACATTCCCTCTGTTCATCGAATTATTGAGGCTAGAATCATATTCTGCAAGTCTCATGCTTGGGCTTGTTGCAAGTGTTGGTGGCTTGACTGAAAGTTTGGTATGCGTCTAGTGTTTACTTCTTTCATTACAAAATATTAGGCGAGAGAACTTATTTTTGGTTTACCTTTGTCATTTTAATGTCATCTCTTTTCTGCAGGTTAAGCACTCAAGTTCAGCTTTATTTACGCATCTTAAACATTTACAACAAACACCAGAGGAAATGCGGCGCCTGTGTGGAATTATCCTTCAAGTTCTAATTGAATGGATAAATTCAGAGAGATTATCAGATTCTCTCCTCACTTTCCTTGATCGCCTTCTTGGGAGTGGTTGTGTGCATTCTGTCTTAGTGGACCCAGAAGTTTCATTCTCATCAGAGATTTTGAGAGTCGTCAAAGGAGTAGTTACCCGATCTAAAGATGTTCACAAACTCAACCGCGGGGTAGATGTTCTCTGCCAATTAGTTCAGGTAAGTTGTAAAGCAGTCTTCACTAGTGTTTTATTTTACGCATTTATTCCTGTGACTGAGGTTATCTGTGGTTTCTCAGGTTCCTGGAGAAGTCTCTCGCCGTTCACTAACTCAGCTTTTAATATTCTTGTGTCACCGGTTCCCTACAATCCGTACTTCTACAGCTGGGCGACTTTATGAAGCCCTCATGCTGTATGGTGATGATGCTGGCTTAGATCCCACGGGCATGGAACAAGCCATGACCCTTATTTCAGACACTGAATGGGATCAAGCCATTGAAATTGTCCGCCCCATTAGAAATGAAATTTGTGATCACATGGGTATACCTCCCCCAAAAGTTGTTCAGAAGAAAAGTAACACATCTGTTATTTCATAAGTTTACTGTAACATTCTGCAAAGCACCCTCTATTGCTGGTCTAATTATAGCTAATATCTGGTTAACTTGTTTTACTGTTTTAAAAAGTGAGACCCATGACTGATTATGTGAACAATTTCTTTACTGCATTGTGCCTTGAGGATATTTTTACCTTCATACTCGAATCATTTTTAAGTGAAATGTTATTTTTTAATGCGTGAATCATGTCAGCATTTTCCTGTTAGTTAACAATTGTTTATATCATCTCAATCTAATATCTTTTGATAACACTGGAGCTTTTAATCGAACTATGCAATCTGTGATGTAATTATTGTCAATACTTTTCTGAAGCAGTTAGCAGCACATTTGTCTATTGATCTAATTTGATTTATAAAAATTATTGTTGGAATGTCATGTCTTTTGTGTACACCTCTACAACGTAAGATGTCTTCTTGTGCATTTGAAATAGAATGCATTTTCAAACAAAATATAACTTTTATTATTAATGTTGATTTACATGTTAGCAGCCGAAAATTTGTAACAACAATTACCATAAAACATTTAAATCTTACAAGAGTTCAATCTCTGAGCATCACAGCTACCATTTTCTCTTCACAAAGTGCAGGAGGAAGATATCACCAGACAGTGAGCAAATGGTGTAGCACAAAATCTCAAGATTTTGACATCTACAGTGCATTAAAGGAAGAGGCCACACTAATGACTTCAATCTGAAAGTTGGAAAGGACAACAGTTAAGTAGTACACTAAATTACTTAATTTTTACAAAGGAAGAGACTCTATCGTACTTGGCTTAATACTCTACTATCTCTTATCTTCTATGAGTTGAGGTTGGCTTCGTTTGAAATATCTGCAAATGCTGCTCCTACACCAAAACCACCACCAACAATGACGGGCCAGCTTTTTCCTGAAAATAGGGATTCTCATTAGAGTTTAGGACTAGTAGGACGACTTCAAAGATGTCAAAACTCAAACAAAAACTCACTTTTGAAAAATATTAAAGATGCAACTAAGCCCCAAGCTAAACTTGTACCTAGAAAACAAAATTTATGAACAAATGTCAGCTTACAATGCGTTAGTGTCACATGTCTGCTACCCATTGAGCAATGCAATATCAGACCGATATCGAAACGATGTCAGACATCAGAAATTTGTCGGTTTTCGCATCAGATTGATAAAAGTGTGGTCTTGAAATTGACACGTTTCTGATAACTGATATCGTTCTGACATCAGTCTGACATTTCATTGCTCACTGAGTAAGGGAGGGTTGTCACAATAACATTTTGTAGACAATGACAAACAGTACTTTTTAATAATTATAATGAAATAATATGGAAGTTATCTAACGAGATAAGAGAGTCCTTCAAATAATCAAATGATGGAATGGAGTTGGATATTAACCTCATCAGCTAAGGACCTCAAAGCCTATTTTAGGTAGACAGCAGTGACTGTTATTGCTCGAATAATGAATCTTACCGACTTGTGTGATAGAGCTTGTTATCAACTTATCCATTCTTTTGCCAGCCTGTTCTTGACTTAAAGACATTTTGAAAAAAAAAAATTAAGCTAAATCTATTTGCCAGACGACAGGAACCGAAAGTAAGAAGAGAGCAAGAGGAAGAAGGTAAACAGTGGTGCAAAGAGCAAGCTAAGCTAGTGATCAATTGAGCAATTTCACTCTCCCACAATTTCGGTATTATTTCTCTTCGAATGACTTCACTTCTGTGCATGTAATTTTTATAGATTAAATTGCAAAAAAAATCTTTCGGAATTAGAGAGAAAAATTTATTGGTACTGGAGGTAAATATTTCGTTTAATGTTGATGTGACTGATTCTTCCGTTTTCCTTCTTTTGTTTATTGTTTTGTTTCTGCGTGCGAATTCCAAACAAACAAATCAAGAAAGTATTCACCGATCGGTGACCTCTCAGCCAGAGCTTCCCTTCCCCGACCCAGTGTTTCTGTAAGTATCTGAGGATTTCCTCGTTCAGTCGTCAATAATTATCATGTACCGAGCCAAATAAATGATGATCATTGCCGACATAGTATAAATGTCACAGCTCATAACCTATGGCTGTATCACCTTAAGAGAGATAACAAATAACAGAAAACAGATCCATTTCAGGAAGGTAATTTATGCTGTTTGATCATGGTTTATTCCCCTAAAGTAGCATTTATTGCAAAATATGTTCATTGAAACATTTTTAAAACGACAAAGAGCAAGAGAAACCTAAGATAGATCTGTTATCTGGTATTTGTTATCTGTGTTTTTGTATCCAAACTGCATTTCCCACTTTGACAGACGAATGCCTAACACTGTCTCCACCTCTGCGGGCCGTGTCCTTCGGTCGGCCCGTTTGCTTGCGGCGCAACCAATGTCTAAAGCATTTTCTGCTTACCCACCGAATGACTTGAAGGTTCAACACAATGCGGACAAGAATGAGTTCTCTATCTGCATGGGCGAAGGTAAGCAAGGTATGATTTGATGATATTTTTCAAATAAAAATAGTGTGTAATTTTTTAAATTATTTTTCAGAGTGTGCTGTAATTCAATACTCAAAGTCAAATAATACTCTAGACCTGCTTCATACTGAGGTACCTGTGGTTTTCCGAGGACAAGGTGTTGCAGCGCTTCTTGCCAAGGTTATGCTTTGTTTCTTTCTCCTGATTTGTGTCAAATTTGGCACACCTTCAATGTACTTAAATTATTCCCCTTCTATGTTTCAGGAAGCTTTTGAGTATGTCCGTCAAAATAATTTGAAAATGAAGTTGTCTTGTGATTATCTTCAAAAGTACTTCCGTGAAAATGAGACACCTGAGCTGAAAAAAATCTTGGCTTGAGTTTTCATGCATGCATGCATGTAATGATCTTTGGATCATTATTGCTGTAAATAAAACAAAACTGATGTAATTGTTGCACATTTCCACCCCTGCACCTGTTCCTTCACAATCTTTTAAAAATGGACTCTGAACAAGATGTAAAAGCCCGTGTGCTGTACCTGTTGAGGGCAGGGCTTTCCCACAGTGCACAAACCCTTGCACTGGAAGGAGTGAGAAGGTACCCAACTGACAATGTGTTTCGCATGTACAATGGCTGGACTTTGGCTTTGGGTAGCCGACCTCAGGAGGCAATACGAGAGTTGGACTCTCTTTCTGGTGATAGAGATATCTCTCTTGGAGTAATTGTTTCTCTTTTACACGTCCACAAGTAAGTTTTATTTGCCAAAAACTGCCACATCACTCTGTAGACTTTTAATTCATACACATTTTTATTCTTTTTTTTCAGATTGTGTACAACTGTAGACAATGAAGCAGTTTCCAGTTTAGATACCAGACTTAAAGATGAACGTCGCTCAGCAAGTGAGCTATCACTTTACCATGCTGCGTACTTCTTTTGTTTGGTTGGGAAAGCTGAGCGTGCCAGGGAATACGCTGATAGACTTCTAAAGTCAAGTCCTCAGTCGTGCTGGGGCTTGACCGTGAGAGGCTGGATTGAACTCACTCTCATACGTGATGGAGTATGTCTGGTTCACGGCTTTTGTGAATTTATCAGCTTTGTCCATCGTTTTACCAAAATTCGAATGGTTTCAGAAAGGTGATAAGCCAGTCGAAGCTCGAGCCAAAACCGCAGCGGACTACTTCTCTCGCGCTCTCGACCAAAATAAAACACACACTGATGCTGCTTTCGGAGGAGTTCGCGCCCGAGAGTACATGGGAGACCACGCTGGAGCCATGAGCGTCCTCAATCAGATGATCGTGCGGTTCCCCAGCGCGACCCCGCCCCTCGTGGAGAAGATGCGCAACCAGCTTGCACAGCGGGATTGGGGGCAGGCGTCCGACTCGGCTGCCCGAGCCCTCGCCATCGACACCAACAGCTTGGATGCCCTGCAGGTAAAAGCGACTGTGATGACCGTAGCATGAGTTTGTGGTGGACACCGGTGGAACGGCGCATTGTCTTTTGCAGGTGAATGCCCTTGTCCTGGTCTGCCGGGATGGCGACTACGAGGGTGGCGCAGAGGCCGTCCAGCGTCTGGCGGACGCCATGGAGAAGATCGAGCCCAAGAACACGCACCTCTTCTTGGAGAACGCCCAGGTACCTAAAGCAATCTGTTTCCTGGCCGCGAACTGGACGACGCCGACGCCCAACTTTTCTGACACCATCATTGAATTCCTCTGCTGCAGCTGTTCTCGCGCGTGTGCGGCCGCAACCCCGTCGTCCTGGCAGAGACCCTGCGCCTGGCCGAGCGCGCCGCCAAGGCCGAGCCCGGGGGCGCCGCGGCCGCCCGCTCCGCCACCACCCAGGAGCTGGGGCAGCAGTGCTTGCTGGCGGGCCGCCTGCGCGACGCCGCCCGGCACTACCGCACCGCGACAAGGGCCGACGAGAGCTCGGTCGGCGCGCTGGTGGGGCTGACGGCCACGCTCCTAGCCGACGATGGCGCCACGGTGCCCTCTGCGGCCGCGGGGGACCGCGAGCAGGCGCGCCAGCAGGTGGAGTTCCTGCAGGAGGTGCAGGGCGACAGGCCCAGCGCCGACGTGCTCCTCATGGCGGCCAGGTGAGGCTTTAGGCTCTGGCTTCTCCCACTGGCACTGTCAGCGGCGAACCTCTCATGTGTGGGACTTCCCTTAGGCTGTCGGCTGGCGACTCTGAGCGCGCCCTGCGGCTGCTGGACGGCGCCGTGGAGGCGCACCTCAAGCTGCTGCAGGGGGAACCCTTTGGCCCGGCCTACCTCCGCGTCCTCAATCCAGACATGCTCCTGCAAGTGGCCAGGGAGTACCAGCGCCACGCGCCGGACATCGCCTCCCCCCTCGCCCTCCCGGACGACGTCGGCGTCATCGCTCCGCCCACGCCGACCGCCCTCAAGTTGGTACCCCTTCATATCGCCCTATGAGGCCGAGGCGCGCCGTGGCTCTGACCGATACCCTTGTCCTCTCGCAGGCAGTGCATGGCGGTGCTGGAGCTGGTGCGCGAGGCGTGCCCCGGGCTGCTGCCGGCGCACTTGTCGCTTGCGCGCACCCAGCTCATGGCTGGGGACGTCCGCGCGGCCCAGAACACGCTGCGTCACGTGCTCGACACAGTGGACCCCACCTCCGCCGACGGCCACCTGCTGCTCGCGCAGGCCCTGCTCAGGTCAGTGTTAGAGAGACTCTAAGTAGTATCTCTAGTCAGCGCCCGGCGGTTCTTCTTCCGGTTCCGGGTCGCCGTTTGCCCCTACCTCCTGCTCACCACTGTCATCTCCGCCCATAGGCAGGGCAACACCGCGGCCGCGGCGCAGAGCCTGGAGGTGGCGGTGAGCTACAGCTTCGCGGTGCGCGAGCGCCCGCTGTTCCACCTGCTCACCGCGCTGGTGCAGCGCGCGCGCGGTGACCTGGACGAGAGCTTCAAGAGCCTGACGGCGGCGCAGGCGCTCAGCGGCCTCCGGCCTGGCAGCGGCGGCGGCTCCGGGGGCGGCGCGCACGCGCTCTCCCGCTCCGAGCAGGCCACGCTGCTGCTCGAGCTGGCCGCCCTGCAGCAGCAGCAGGGCCGCTGGCCCGAGGCCATGCTCGCCCTCCACGACGCGGCGGAGCGCTTCCGCGACACGGCCGAGGAGGGCCGCGTGGCGCTGGCGCACGCGGACGTGCTGCTGGCGCGCGGGGAGCCCGCCGACCCGTCCGCGGCGCTGTCCGTGCTCGCCTCGGTGCGACCCTCGCAGCCCTACTACCTGCAGGCGCGCCGCCGCATGGCGCACATCCACCTGCGCATCCGCAAGGACCGGCGCGCCTACGCCGAGGTGTTCCGCCAGCTGGTGGACCAGGACCCCGGGCCGCAGAGCCTCGTGCTGCTCGGGGACGCGTACATGGCCGTGCAGGTGAGTCGGCCCGCCCGCCCAACACGGCTGCGCAGCGGGCTGCCTACCCAGCACTCCACAGGCGTCCGTTGACTGCCTCTCACCTCATTCTCTCTCTCTCTCCCGCAGGAGCCCGAGAAGGCCATCGAGACCTACGAGCAGGCGCTGCGGAAGAGCCCGCCCAACCGCAACCCGGGGCTGGCCTGCAAGACGGGGCGCGCGCTCGTGCAGACGCACCAGTACGGCAAGGCGCTCAACTACTACCGCGAGGCGGTGCGCGGCGACGGCGACCCGCAGCTGCGCCTGGACATGGCGCTGCTCTGCCTCAAGCTGGGGCAGCTGGACAAGGCGGACGCCACCCTGAGCCAGGAGCTGGCCAGGGAGTCGTCGGCCAACGACGCCGAGGCGCTGGGCGTGCGCGTGCGCATGCAAGAGCTGCAGGCGCGTGTGCGCGAGCGGGCGGGTGGCGGCGCGGTGGGCACCGTCACGGGCGTGCAGGCGGCGCTGGCGTGCCTGCAGGAGGCGCGCGTCACGCAGGCACGCGTGCTCAAGCTGGTGGCGGCGCGCGAGGGCGAGGACAGCCCCGCCGTGGCCGAGCAGCGCGCCGTGGGCGCCCGCCTGTGCCGCCAGATGGCCCTGCACGCCGCGTCGTTGCGCGACAACACGGCCGCCGTGCGCTACTACCGCGAGGCCCTGGTGCTGCAGGCGGGCTCCGCCGGCACGGACAGCGAGGCCCCGCCCACGGCCGAGACCAGCGACACGCTCATCGCCCTCGCCAAGCTGTACATGCAGGTGGGCGACCTGGAGCAGTGCCAGGCCACCTGCCAGACGCTGCTGCGCGCCGTGCCCGAGCACGACGCGGCCACCGTCATGATGGCCGACCTGGCCTTCCGCCGCGTCGACCTGGAGGGCGCCTGGCAGCATTTCTCGGCGCTGCTGCAGCGCCGGCCGGCCTACTGGACGGCGCTGGCCCGCCTGGTCGAGGTGTCTCGACGCCGCGGTCAGCTGGCCTCCTGTGTGCCCTTCTTGGACGCGGCCGAGGCCCAGGGCGCCGCTCAGCGCGCCCAGCCCGGCCTCAGCTACTGCCGTGGCCTGTACTCGTGGTACTCTGGCAACGCTTCGCAGGTGAGTCGCGCAAGGACTTCCCCGGACCAATTCACTATTCAATATCTAACTCAATATCGGGGTGATGCAGGCTCTGCACCAGTTCAACGCTGCGCGGCGTGACCCCGAGTGGGGGCAGCAGGCCGTGCACAACATGATCGAGATCTGCCTGGACGGCCAGAACCTGGGCGCGGAGGACGCTGGCGGGGCCGAGGACCGCGACGCGCGCCAGGCCGCGCTGGCCACGGCGGAGCGGCTGCTGGCGGAGCTGCGGGGCGCGGCGGGCGGCCCGGAGGAGGAGATGAGCAAGAGGCTGCTCGCCAACCAGCTGCTGCTGGCCGCGGGGGACAAGCGCGGCGTGGAGCGCGCCGTGCAGGACCTGACGGCCGCCGTGAGCAGCGAGACGGAGAGCCACCGCGAGCCGGTGGGCGCGGTGCTGGGCCTGGCGCAGGCGCTGCTCCTGCAGAAGCAGACGCAGCGCGCGCGCAACCAGCTCAAGCGGCTGGCGCGCACCGTCTGGACCGTGGAGCAGGCCAACCACCTGGAGAAGGCGTGGCTGCTGCTCGCCGAGCTGTACATCCAGCAGGGCAAGCAGGAGCTGGCCGCCGAGCTGCTGCGCCGCGTGCTGCAGCACAACCAGGGCTGCACCCGGGCCTACGAGAGCCTCGGCGTCATGGCGGAGAAGGAGCAGACGTACCGCGAGGCGGCGGGGCACTACGAGCGGGCCTGGCGGCTGGGCGCGGGGACAAGCGAGGCCGGCGGGGCGGCGCGCTCCCAGCCAGCGCTCGGCTACAAGCTGGCCTTCCAGTACATGAAGTGCAAGCAGTACGCAGACGCCATCGACGTCTGCCAGCAGGTGCTCTCCGCACACCCTAACTACCCTCGCATCCGGAAGGATATCCTTGAGAAGTCCAGGAATCATCTCAGGACTTAGCTCCCCGTAATGTTAACCACCAAGTGTAGTTGTTTATGTGAAATGTAACCAGTATTTCTCTGTGATCTTGTTGATGTAAGATTTGATTTTAAAGCAGCACATTTAAGAAGTTTTAAATAATAAATATTCCGTCCACTTAATGCACTATTACGTTGTGTCGTTTGTTTGGTCAAACAATCCCTACTGTCTCTTGCTATGTCCAGATCTATATTGTCAATCAAAACTCCAAACTAGGTGTGTGCCCCTGTTTGTAGCTACAACCGACAGGGCCCGAGTCAGCTTAAACTGAACCGCCTAGACGAACTCATCTCATCTATGCTAGGATATCAACCAGAAGTAAACAGTGTTAAGAGGTACTAATTAAATGCCTCTAGGAAGCCCTCGCCTTGCCCATGCAGCTCGGAGGGACGCATTGCCTACCCTCCAGGCGTTTTCAGCGACAATCATCGACTCACGCCCATATTGACACGGCTTCACGCCTGGGGTCAAAAATTGACCCAAACCCAAAGTCCCCGACACGGCACGACCGATGCCGAGAGAGAAGCCGTGGCCCATGGCCTACCTCTCAGGCGTCCAGGCGAAAACTCGACTCGTCGCGGCAAGTGGTAGCGGGCGGCCTACCTCGCAGGCGTCCTCTTTGTGGACACCAATCCGGCGGCCAGAGTCAGCTTAATCCGACCCGTCGGTAGCAGACCTTCGGGCAATATGATATCCGACACCCTCAGGGTGTACGCAGAAGCCAAGTCCCTTGCTCTGCAGATAATCCCTGACAAGCCATAAGCCCCCTACCCAACCAGACAAATACTATGGGGCGCGATCTCCTAAAAAGCACGAAGTGAGACGGCCCTGGGTGGGTGACGGCCTTTATTGTGTATTTCGACGAACGAAGGAAGAAGAATAGCGGGTAGAACATAAACGTTACCGATTAGTCGAAAGCTTCCCGCCTTTACGTCACGCTGGTAGTGGGGGTAAGCGCTCGGCCAATCAGAAACCTTTATGTTCTACCTGCTATTCTTCTTCAACCGTTAGTCGAAATACTATAGACTTGTAGTGTGTCGTTCGTTCTCGCGCCCCTCCTTCCTAAAACAGCCGGCAGGAGTGTCACCGTCAGCCCCCACCACCGGCCGGAGGGCCCGCCGGGCCCGCCGGGCCCGCCCGAGCCGATCTGGGCGGCGGCGGCGCGACGCAGCTCAGAAGCTTTCCTTGACTCTTGACTTGACGACCACTGCCGGCCCAGCCCCGTCGCCCGCCGCAGTCAGTGAGCCGCCACTCAGCCGCGCTCAGCCGCCCTGTAACCTCCGCTACTTGACTGTGCTCGAATAGAGCTTTCCAGTGCAAGGTATGTACAGTCCAGCCTACAGTATCACACTGTTTTAAAAGTTACCAGACCATTCGGTAGTGATTTTACTGGTATAATTTTGAACAGTGTGTTCGTGGCCGTCCTCGGCCCGCGTCGGCCCGCGTACTGCTGCGCCGCGCTCCCCCGGCTGCCGTCATGCTGAAGTGTGCGAGCCCATCTGCTGTACGACGACGGTCAAATCTGTTCGACTGGTATCTGATGGATAAAGACTTGGCCGTGCTGTCCTCTAGAATAAGGTACAGTCCAGCCTACAGGCCCTGTTTACAACATTACAAAACCATTCTGTTGTGATTTACTGTTGTAATTGTTAACAGTGGAAGCCGGGTCGCCGTGAGCCAACAGCTCTGCGAGGTGTGGGGGTGTCACTCTACCGCCGCGGGACCCGCTGTGCCGTGGGCAGTTAGCCAGCGGCAACTCACGGTAATGCCAATCATCGGAGCTTAGCGTCAGATAGGGCCTTTGGCAGCTGTGGGTCAACAGGTCAGGGGGGTGGGGAGGTTCCCATTACCTTTATAATGGCACTTGGCGTCCCTCACACATACACAACACACTCCACCACATGACCGGTATACGCGACAGTCGTGGCGTAAAGAACGGGACTAAAGCGAAAGTCGTGGCGGCGCGAGCGTGGTATAATGTTGTCAATAACCTTATCTTTCTTTGGAAGAGACCAAACAAAATTGAAGATGATGAAGGTGCCATGGCTTGTCGGTAATCAGCCCTATTTTACTGTTTTGCCGCTTGATTTTTGGATTGTTTTCCCTCTCACAATGATGGTTTTATCCGCAGGATGTACAAGCCCAGAGCTGACAGCAGACAGCTGCTCGCCCTGTAAGTTACTGCTGCTGGCTCCCACCTAGATTAAGAGGGTTAGTTTGGGAAGTGTTGGATGAAGTCGCAGCATAGATCATTGGTTGAACCTGCCCCCGTGACGCTCGCTTTCTGTTGGAGTTCTCTGCTCAGCCACTGGACCGATCGCCGCGACTCGGCCCGCTCGGCCCCCGCGGCCCCCGCGGACAGCTGGACCAGCTCGTGGCAGGTGCGTCTCTAAAGCATTATTTGTTCCCCATTTGGCCCGCTTGCAGGGGCCCCGGTCATTCCCTGCTGCCGCCCCTCTGTTGCTGCTGCTGCTGCTGCTGCGGCCGGCGCGTCTCTCTGGCCTCCCTCGCTGCCCCCGCGGGTGTCCCCCCTAGGCCCCCTCCCCCCCGCGGGACCGGCGAGGCGCAGCGCCCAGGGTAGCGCGCCGGCGAGTATGGCTTGGCGGGCGCGTTTGTTACATTGCGACCGGGAGTCCGCGAGAGCAAAGCTAATGGCTTACTTCAACCGCACGTTGGGACCAGTCTAATGCCCTGTTCTGTTCTGCTGCCGCTGCCCTTCAGCCGCCCTCCCGACCACTCCGCTCGGCTCGGCTCGGACGCACCGCGGCCTCGCCGCTGAGGGCCTCGCCCGCCCGTGTCTACAGGTAAGTAACCTCATCTTCACTGGCTCTAGTTGGCTTGGCTAGTGTGGGATGATTTTAACCTAGTTTTGCTCCTGTTGCAGAGTCGCCGTTGGAGGACCGCGACGGCTGAGGCTGCAAACAACCCGGTGGTGACGGCTCACCTGTCATCGGACCCCCAGGACGTTCGCGACGCACTGTTTCAGTTGGTTTACAATGAAACGAGACGTTTGCTTCTCCAGTTGCTTTTCCAGTTCCAGGCCATAGTTCCAGTTCCGTCCCGGTCAGCAGGTCACCGCGATTGGTGACGCAAGACACCCGACACCAAGGACCCTCCTCGACGTCCGCCATGGAGATCTGCTTTCAACATAAACGCTGGCTTTGCTGTCTTCCCCCCAAGCAACCAGAACAAGGACAACCAGTAAGTTTTCCCAGGCTGAGACCTCATGCACACATTATTTACATGTAAACAAAATTTGTCTACTGCGAAATGTATTTTGATGACAGTTGTAAGAGAAACAAACTGTGTTTATGGATTGAGATTTGAGACTTTGCTTTTCCTTCCAGTTGCGCAGGGTCAGCGGTAGCAAACTGGAGCCACTGGAGCGGCAGGATGAGGAGCTGTTTGGATGGCTTGGAGCAGCGGGAAGGTATTTATCACACTAACTCTATTTTAAGACCTTCGTTTTTTCATTATGAATATTAGCTTTTCTTTCGTTCTGCACAATATTTTGTTTCTAAGGTTGAGAGGGGCCTCAAAGAACATTTCTATAGTATTTGTATTTTGCCAAAGTCTCATTTTTGTCGGAGCTTGTTAATTTGAAGCATTTTTTAACATAATTCATGTTTCCTTATTTCTTGCTTATTAAAGTAGTTGTGACCAGTAACGGATTGTAAAGGCACATGGTGCAAGTTTGAGACCAATGTCTTGTTTTAATTTGACCCATCTGAAGTAAAAGAACACCAGCAATGTTTATTATGGTCTGAACTGTTAAACAAATTTTATTAGTTTGTTAGTTGCCTTTCCAGTATTTAAATTCTGTGGGAAAAATATAAACATGATCATTTGTTTTTCCTCTCAAACTACTTATTTGGATCTATGTTCCAGATCGCATCTCAGCATTGCTGCTCAACCAGATGGAAGTCATCCAACTTCATGGCAGGACAAGAAAATCATTTGACATTAATTTATTTAATTGTATTACTGTATTCATCGCTGACCTCTTGATTTCTTATCTTGCCTTCTTTGTCTTGTATTGTAGTATAGAGCATGGTTTCTGTTGTCTTGGATTGTAGTATAGAGCATGGTTTCTGTTGTCTTGGATTGTAGTAGAGCATGATTTCTGTTGTATTTGCTTCTCATGAATTGGTTTTTACATTTTGGTTGGATTTTGCGGGTTTAGTGCTTGTAATTCATGTCGGGTCTAGAAAACAAATGTGGAATCTCCCTCCTCTCTAACTTAACTCTTCTATTTTTTGACATCAAAATCATCTGCACACTCTTGTATCATACATCATTTATTCATAGTAAATAGCAGAACTGTAAAATTTATTACTGTTCAAATCCATGCAATACTTCCTCTTCATGTTAAATATGTAGTGATATACTTTCGTTATTCTATATGGATTCAGTTCTCATTGGAGTTGACCTATGGACCCATCAGCTATTTAGTATTACAAATATTTTACAATGATCTTCTCAAATGAGTCTGATATTGTCTGGAAAATTTATGGCTGTGTTTTGCTGATCAAATGTGAAGGAAGTTTATATCTTCATGAAATTATTTAGAGTTCTCTTGGACACTAAACTTTTATTTAATAGCATAAGAGTTAAGATTATCCTTAATCTTTCTATGTAAACCCCCATGACGGTTTTGTGCACAGGTAGCAGAGTTGAGCATTTAAAGCAAATTACTGGTGCGTCTAAATGCACCTTGAATGAACTTGACACTACAATTTACATTAAGTAAAGACTAAAGAAGTAACAATGTAAAACAAAATTAATTGATAGATCTCACATTTGCCTGTATGAAATTGTTTTATTGGTATTGGTTGTTCAGCAATTTTCAAATGAATTGAATACTTCCTATTCAGCAGTCTGTGCAAATTGTTTGACCATTGATGACGTTTGATCTTACTCTAGTTTATGTTCTGCAACTGAAATTCACTAACAACTGTTAACGTTTTGTCTTTGTGTGGAATCATGTACTCCTGGTCTGGTCAGTCAACCTGTTGGCTAGTTTTTGACATTTTGCATTTGTGGCAATGAACTCTATCTAGTTTGCACTATATATACAATGGTTGTCTTACACATAAAATTTATAGAATAGAATATGGGAACTAAAATTGATCAGATTAATTTTCAAGAGGTTTTCCTGTTGCCTAGCTTTTCTTTTGTGACTCCGCATTAAGGGGAAGGAATCAAACAATGATGTTTATATTTTTATTTAAATAAAGTTCCAGTTAATTGTTCTTATTGTGCTTACTAACTAACCCAGAGAATCCTTTCCAACATTGCCATAGGGATTTAGTGCTGTCAGTGTGAAAGTTATTTATTTTTGTACAGGCATGTACCTATTTGTGTGTCTTGCACTTCAAAAAAAAAAAAACAGTCGGTTCAGTTTGAGCTGACTCTGGCCCTGTCGGTTTTAGCTACCAATAGGGAGGTGCTGTGTGTTCTGCTTCGATACTCGCCCGCAGGACACGCGCGCGTAACAGAGCGGCCTACCCTTCAGGCGCGCACCCCGCACTGTGCTGCCACCTACCGGCGACAGCGAAGCATCAATCTGTGTCGTCTGCTCAGCAGAGCAGAAGCCTTTTTAGCGGCCAGCGGCCTGGTCAACATGGCTTCTAGGTTAGGCATAAAAGCATTTTTAACATTTGGTGCTGGTTGGTTTGCAAATTCAGCCTTCAATGAATATGTGGGGAGAAAATCGAAAAGCCCTGAGTCTTTGGTTATAGATGGTCGAATTGTAGATAAAAGACCGGCTTTGCCTTTATTTGGAGTTGTGTCTGCAGCAACACCTTATGACACCAGTAGTGGGACTGATGTAGCTTCTAGAGTCGGGCAGGTAAGTAAACAATTGTGATTAAAATTTAAATAGATTATTGGAATTTCAATTAAATGCCTTTTCTTTTTTCCACACTTTACAGATTATGCAATTTGGCTTCCCAAGCCTTGACAACATTCGTTCATTTGATGACTATGTTTTGTCTTACGACAGACGAAACAGAGTTGCAAACTGGGTATTTGAACACTTGACACCCGATGGGGTGAAGCATAATGAGGCTGTAGACCGAAGCAAGTGTGATTTCAAGGAGGACTTATCAATTCATCCCTATTTCAGGTAGTATACTTTTGTCTTGTGTGGAATGCTAGCCAATTTCAACTGCTAACATGTACCTTGTCTAATTCTGCATTAAACTAGATCAACCAATGATGACTATAAAGGAAGTGGGTATGACAGAGGCCACCTTGCAGCGGCAGGCAACCATAAGGGTCATCAGAAACACTGTGAGCAAACTTTCCTGTTATCAAATATGGCACCACAAGTGGGAAGAGGTTTTAACAGAGACTCATGGAATCGTTTAGAAAGACATGTACGCAAACTTACGAAGACACATCCTAATGTATATGTCTGTACTGGTCCATTATACCTTTCTCAGTAAGTACAACTATTTTGTGAGTTTTATTTTCAGCATAGCACGGAAACTTAAAGCTATTTTCTTCCAGAAAAGAGGCCAATGGAAAATCTTATGTCAAGTATGAAGTTATTGGTAAAAATATGGTTGCTGTACCAACACACTTTTTCAAGGTGGTTGTAGCTGAAGATGCCAATAAAAACTTTATGATGGAGTCTTATGTGATGCCAAATTCAGTAATAAGTGATGACACGCCTCTTACCAGTTTTATGGTAATAACTGTACTCCATCTGGAAATGCGTTAGGTGAACTACAAATATCGAGTCTATTTGTAAACGAAAATATTATTGTTCAATTTTTCAGGTTAAACCAGAGCTAGTTGAAAAATTGTCAGGGCTCCTTTTCTTTGATAGAGTTTCTCGTGACAAATTGCAATTTATCAATGGCAAAAAAGCCTAGTATCTACCTGGACTGACTTTCCCTTTTAATGACAATTGAATGACTAGAGTTGTGTGAAGTTTGGACATGATTGTGAGGAGTGGGTGAGTAAAGGCCTGAAGTAACTTTAAATTGATCAAATTGGTTGGTAATATTGTTTTGGAAATGATATTTATTGTCCAAATAATACAACAATAATTGTTATAGTACTAAAGCAGGTTGTGGCTTTTATGTACAAAGAACAAACAAAAAATATTTAGCTAAATAAATACTTTACATATGATACAGAAGGTATATGTTTTAACAGGTACCACACAAACAATGAAGCTCTAGGGCTTGTGCCCTTTTTTTCTGTACATTATTTACATCATATAGAACAAAAAGAAAAACTCATTTCTGATCAGAAACATCACACACTAATACAAATTTAATTTACATGTATGTGAGCTCAAATCTGAAATATTTCACAAAATAGTTGGCTGTTATCAGCTTGTGATAAATTTTAAACTTTTTAGAGTCTAGCCAGAAAAAGTAGAGCTGAATCATCCCTAATTACAGAAATACAATTGGTGATCACGCTGAATCTAATTTTACATTAGAACATTGACACAAAATCCATGAGGTCAATGAGGTCTAATCAACATTTTATTATTATAATTTTTGTTTGGTGAAATTCCATATCTTAATGTTACAGAGGGGGTGAAAATATGAGATTTGATTTTTAAATAGCCATTTGGTAGAAAGTCAAAGTCAGTGTTCTAACAATTTAATAACAAGGGTTGCCAAAAATTTCTCAAAAAGTTTTAGAAGTACAAAGCTACAGAAGAATATTATTGTACTGGACATTTTGGTCTGCAAAGGCCTTATTACATATAACATGTGTAGAGTAACGTCAGTTTTAAAATAAATTTCCCACCCAGAAAATGTCAGTCATTTAAGACACCACTAAAATGAAAAATAAATGAAAAAGATTCCACTTACTTTCTCTGTCAGTGATCAAGATCCAGTTCACTCTTGTCTTCAGAGCAGCTTTCTAACTTAAAACTATATCAGGAGAAAGTATGTTTTTTTTTAACAACTTACTGGCTAACATAGAAAATAGTTTAGGCAGTCTTTGCTTTGAAAGATGGGCTTTTCTTTTGCGTAGTTGGAATCAAACTAAGGTTTGATTTAAAAATGGTTACATACCAGTTAAAGCAATAAGCAGCTCAGCTTCTTAATAATCACACAGCAAAAATGGATTAAACAATTGAAGCGCACTTGAACTACAATACTGATCATATTTCCTTTCAATCTTATGCAAAGACATCTTGGTTTCTAAGGTCTAGAGGGTACTCCTTTGTTAGGGTGTGATATTTAAAATTTACCCTTAAATTTCATACACTAATATTAGTTTTCATTTAGAATGGTTGATTAGAAAAAACAGTCAATAATGCCAATAACATTTGGATAACTTATAGAAAGCATAGCAGGTATTTTAAAGCAGAACACTCACAATATTTTCCTAATACAAAAGATTATGTAGATGATGGCAGTGACTTATTAAAATTTCATGATAGATTCTATTATGATCATCAATAAATGTGAAAAAAGGGACAAAGTTGACTAAGCACACAAGCAGCAGTCCAATATGACTATATCGTATTTGATTGCTGCACCATTCTTTCAAGGTTACTATTTCATAGACTTGATTTGAATTTGGAAGAGGTACGCAATTAGGGTAGTGAACCTCTGCTTCTTTGAAATCAAACCAAGCCAGATTAAAGAAACCTTACAAGTCCATTCCATCAACATTTCAGTTTGTTACAAATGAAGATTGATTTGTTTGATCAGAAAAAAAGATAAGAAAGGCACTTTACCGAGAGCAATGTAATTTTAAGTGGAGAGACAGGTGTCTGCACCAAGTTATGAAAATATTTAGGAGAAATCTTTGAGTTGCAATGGTCCAAGTTTAACATAACAATACAGTTTATTATTATTGACTAGCATATGCCTGATTGCAGAGCAATAAATCCATATTAAAAGAAAAAAAAAAGAAGTGAAAAGGGAATTATTGTTATACTTAACTCAATGTTAATACCCTTTTGAAATAAAGATTCTACTGTACATTATTATTGAAATAAAATAAACTTAGGATCTATCTCACCAAATCTCTCTCTCTTTGGTCTATCTGAACAGCAGTACTGCAGTCCAACACTTATCATAAGGATGATTCTAAACGAGCATTTATATGTGAGCTGCTCACAGAGTCTGCGTGTGAACTTGATGGATGAGATTCATGGCTTGCTGAATCCGAATCATTGCTGTGTGGACTGGAATAATTTGCAGCTTCCTGAAGACGCATCAACATGTTGAGCTGGAGGAAGACAAAACAAATATAATTTTAACTAACATTCTTTATATTTTCAATGACAATTCACATTGTATTTAAAATGTAGATAAGATATCTTACCAAAGGATCTCCATCTGTATCACTATGAGTTGAACTCATGCTCCTTATACTGTTTCCACCAGCAACCATAGGCTGCATATCATATCCTACGTCTTCTGCTCGAAGTCTGAAAACAAATACAATAATCAAGAATAAATAAATTTTCTTACTCATTTTTGGGATAACTATGTTTGAGAGAGGATGTGCTAGGGCAGAGTCATGGAATTACAACTTACTTTAGAAGGGCTTCATGCCCACCCTGCACAGCGTCTTCTGTCCAGGGATAAGTTTGGACAATGAAAACAGTTGGATCCTCCCAAGGGGCACGACGACCATATAGTTGCAATCCCTCACGAACTGCTTCCAAGAGGTATGGCACCAGAGAGTAGTTCCATAGATCGGTAAACCAAATTTGAGATCCTGCTGAGTCAGTTGGACACGGAAGAAACAGTCGAGGACCTATGCAGAATAAAAATAAGACATTTTCATTGTTTTGCAGAAACAAATAATAACAGTAATGGTTTTGAAATTATAAAGAGTAGAATATGGAAATACGTGTCAGCAGCAGGTTTCAGGCACTTACCTATTGTTACATCAGATGAACTATGAGCTTCTAAGAATTTGTTTAGCTGCTGCCAAACTTTGGGTATCCAATCCAACACTCTTGCCATATCAGAATTTGAGGAGCCCTCTCTTGCTTCAGTCTCTAATAGTTTGCGTCTTAAGTATCGACCCAAAAATCCCTTAACTGGTTCCATGTGATTGGCACATAAAATCCACCTAAATAATTAAAAGGTTATTGTAAAAATTACATAGTGCACAAATTTTGAATTTGACCTAAAATGTCCATTCATTCTATATCCTACATTAAAAAAATACATGGATAAATAAATATCAAACCCATACCTAAAATTGTGGTGAAGCTGTAAATTAGTTGTGGAGCAGGTAGCCTGGTTCATGGTGCCAATTATGTATGGACATTTGCTGTATTTAGCATTTAAAAATCCATTGAAAACATCCCCTAAAGAGGCTGCATGGTGAAGATTGTCCAAAATGATAACTGATGGCAGGTCAGCTGCATTATTTTCACATTGCTCAGCTACATTAGCGAGGTATTGTCGCAGCTCCTTGCTACTTTTATGATCAACACTAAAAAAAAGACAAAATTATTGTAAGTACAAATTGACAATGATACTAGATAAAATTTCAAAATGTAATGGCATACAAAGAAAATTGAAACAATTAACTCACTTGAATGTTGCAATAGATTCAGCTGTTGATTCTTTCCCACTTCGAAGAACTAAAAACTCAGCTAATTTATTGGCCAAGTAAGATTTACCAGTGCCACTAGGTCCGCAAAGAATTATTCTACGATGTTCCGTTAGAAGTGAAATATATCTGCCAAATAAAATTGTTTCAAAATGTGTAAAAATATGAACTAAATATGTTGTCAAGACGATATCTTTTTCATTTAACTACAAACTTACCTCTGTATAATGGACTTTGGGATCAGTGTTTCAAAGGCTAGAGCATCAACACTTCCGTTTTGGACCGCTCCCTTCAAACAGATTGTTATTGAGTCTGCATTGCCAACCAGGTATCCACAAGGAAGAAGCTCTGGAGTCGGTGAGTCTTTGTACCGTATCACCTCACCCACGTGATAACTGGCTATGGAGTCTGTGCCTAAACCCAAACTAGTGGTTGGATCCACCCTTGAAAGATATTCTTTAAACAAGCGTTTGATCAAGGTATCCAGAACTTCCCATTTTGTCTTCCCCGAAACAGCAATAGCTGCCACACTGCACATTTGAGGTGCTGACTCTCCTGCTTCCTCTAGATACTTCTCATAGCTACCGTGAGCACCAAGCAGTACAGAGACAGGAGTGCGCTTGCCATCAGGATCTAAAGCAGCAAGTGCCGCCATAGACATAGTGCTTGTAGAGGATGCACTATTGTTTAAGAAATCAACAGTGTCTGAAAACAAGATGAAAGTTGATGTATTTTCCTCAAAGAAATTAGAACAAAAAATGTTACTGATTACCACCAATAAATGGTGAACTTACCAATATTAGAGTTAGTTGCATCAGTCATACTGAACCTCCTCTCTAAACTGTCCATTGCTAAAGAACATTGGGATGTAGTTAGGGATTTACTTGTAACTATTCTTTGTAGCCTTTCATTGTCCTGCTTTAAGTTTAGCATTTCATTCTAGAAAAGAAAAAGCTCAATGAAGTTACAACCAATCGTCATAGTTTCTGACATCAAAAATCTTAAATAGCTCACCCTCATTTTCATAACTGTATCTTTAAGACTCTCCAGCTGATGTGCAGAACTTAGAGCTTCAAGTCTAATATCAGTGAGCACAAGATCTTTCTCTCGAAGCTGTTTACGAAGTTCATCTACCAACTCAGGGCAGTTGGGTTCTTCTAGTCCATTTCCTTGGTATATCCTGACAAAACAGAGAACTTCTCATTAAAAAACAAACGCTCGGATACAAAATTTGCTGTGTATATAAGGCTTGCAATGAAGCTACTTACGCCGAGGATGACTGGCTTAGTTTTGTATTCTGATTGGCGAGTGATGACAGAGTACTATTTCCACCATTCAGCAGTGGTGACGATGGGGCGGAGAGGTCCGAAAGCATACCCCTAGCATCTTCCACATCAGAAACTGAGCCATTTTTATTTTTCTTTGACCTAGAAAACGCTTTGCTAAAGGAACTTCTTAGCCAGCCTTTCTTTTTCTTGTTCCCAGGTGAACCACAAGCAGGATGTGCTGAGCTCGAATGACTACAGGCCGATGACAGAGAGTTGAGACTTGAAACGGAATCTGTAGACAATTGTCTCGACATTGTCATCCCTTCCCCATCAGTGACAGTATGCCTCCTCGTTAGGTTTGGTGACATATTCTGAATATAAGCTGATGTAAGACCAGCCTCAACACTCTGTTTGCGCAAAAGCTCAATAGTTTGCCTCAATTCCAACAACTCGGAATCCTGAAATATATATTTTGAAAATGTTAGATATGGATATACACTTTTGAACTTGATAAATTTTTTCTACACCTAAAAAAAATAATACCAACCTTTCTCTCTGATGAAGACGTCAGCTGGTGAAGACGAGCAGTCATATTGGAGAGGGACTGTTCGAAGGCGGACACCACATGAGCCTGTAACCACAAAAAACAAACGCCCTAAGTCTCATCCTTGGCTAGCATCAGCATCCCGTTGCCTTCAGGAGGAGAGCCACTTGGGAGCCTGAGCGCCCGACGACGCGAGGGTAGGCAACCCGACTGTCTCGCCTGCCCGGCGTGTAGTATCACCGCCCGGTATCGCAGGATGCCGGCGTTGCTGTGCTCGCGCCTCGCGGTGGTGCGGGGGGGTTTGCCTATACTCACTGACCCTGGCGCCCCAAGGGCTAGGCTGGGAGGAGGGAAGGCAAACCCACCCGCACCGGCGGTGCGTCCACCGGAACACCCGGCACTACTGTAAACTCAACCCGCCCGCTTCAAGATCGACCCGTAATTACGATGTAGTGAAAATTTAAAAGCACAAAACAGAGTGAAGGGGGCGGGGCGGGGCGAGGTGGGGCGGGGCGGGGCTGGGCGGCACACTCCTGATGGAGCGCGCGCCACCGCGGAGACCGTCACCGTCACGGCCGAACGGACAAACGGACCGACAAAGGAAACGCCGCCAAGGGCGAGAAAAAAGAAAGAAATGAAACTCAGGTAGACGTCGTAGTCGACCACCGATCCTGACGTCGCGCAATGTTTACGTAGAGAAACTCGGAAGAGTCAATGGAAATACACTCAAGTTGGCAATTCATCCGCATATGATTGTGGAGCCCTGTTTCCCGCAGGAGGATCCTCACGGCGCTGTCGCCATCGCACACGAAGGTACTCACCTGTAACAAGAAAAGGAGAACAGAGTTAGAAAAAAAATCTCGTGGTACCATTGGGGCGCAGCCACGAGTGGCAAAATGAGTTGGACCAAGTGACCTCAAGCAAGTTCATGGGTGGTATGGAGTGTGTGTGAGTGAGAGGAGTGGTGAACCGGTGGCCGCGAAAAACGTGAGAACATGGCGGCCTGAGTGAGTCTGCGCGTTTTTATATTGGTTTCACACAGTTTTCTGAAATTGGGTAAATGTTGCCGACCAGCCGGTGAGGAAGGTACCTGCAAGGTGGGGCAGCTTCTGTAGCGGCTGCGTCTGGTGGCGATCTCCCACCAGGGCATCTGGGGCTTAGCCCTGAGTATGGGCTTGGTAGCGACGGCCTCCTCCCAGAGCGGGTCCAGCGGGCGGCTGCCGGCGCCAACGCCCGCCCCCGAGCTGCGCAGGGTGCCGCACCACGACCCGGACGAGGACGCCGACGACGAGCTTCTGGACGAGTGTCCGCTGGCCGAGCTCCAGGTCGAGGCCGTGCTCTGGTGGCCCCAGGTGCTGTAGCCGTTGAGCCAGGGGGCGGCG